TATACAAAGTCAGCTTATTACCCCCACAACTGGGTTCTCAATTTACCTACCTTAGAAAGGATGGAAGGCTGAGTCAACCTTGAGCCTTGGCGAGATTCGAACCTGCAGTAATTGCAGGCAGCTGGTCTTAATAACCAGCTTAATAACAGGGTGCCTTAGACCACTGTACTACCAAGGCTCTTTTGTGCACATGGACTACTAGTCAAAAGTGCGAGGACCTATCAGAAATGACTTTTTTCAGCCCTCTGAGTAGTCCCTATACACATAGCCATGGCCACCCAGTCACATGACCTTCAAGCCACACCCACAAAATAAACCACACCCACAGAACCAGCAGTAAAAAAATTTAGAACCCACCCCTGGTTGGGGGTTACCACAATATGAGGAACTGTATTAAAGGGTCGCGGCATTAGGAAGGTTGAGAAGCACCGGTATAGAGAGAGAAGTGGGGAGAGCACACAGCCATGGGGAGCCACTGTATAGGTATCTGATGGATATTTTGTACTCATTAAGATAGCAGGCCATCCTACTCATAAACAAAAGCCTTCAGCCACAGCTATGTACAAAAGCCCACCTATCTCAATCCCATTTTGTCAGCCACCCCAGAAACAAGCTGCTGTCAATGAAGTTTCTGGAAAACCAAATACACAAGAGACCTTCCTTTTCTCGCAGCAAGCCTCCATTTTATTTCCAGCACCTTTCTCCCGGCTTGAAACCAGACTGGATTTTTATTCCAATACTATTGTTGGAAGAAACATCCTTCTAGGTTCTGCTCCAAGTGGGGAAACAGACACTGGAAACATGGAGACTGCTTGGAAAGATGGTTTAATGGTGGACAGGATCACATGGCTTGAGTTCCTGATCAGAAAAGGGGCAGATACAGTAAATCCTCGGGTTTTTATGCTCTCTCTGGCTTTGAACTTCCTGGGGCCCAGAAAGAGTACTCTGATTGGTTGTCAGACTCCCAGGGGGTGGGGGTCTTAGCTAGCATTGCTGGCTGATGGTCACATGTGCTTCCCAGGTCACATGTGGTGAGTTTCTGCTGCTATTGTGTAGAGGGCTAATCCTATCTTTGTTGGATCTTTGGCAATTCCTACTATGGCTCTGCCTGAAGGAGGTAGATCTTTGTTATGTAGAATAGACTGGCCCAGGCCTTAATGGTCCATTGACAAAGGGTGGGGGCAGGAAGATGGGAGCTGCTTCAAAATATGCTCATCCATTTCTCATCCAGGGAAATATAATATTCTGCCTTTTTCATATTTCCTAAACTATTTCACTCTTCCAGGAAAGGGGTGGGTGCTAACTTCCTACACTATTGTGGTGTGTTTCCTATATACATTAGTTCTGCTTCTTGTGTGGCAGGAAGTAAACATCTATGGCAATGTCATTTTCCCCCTTTATACTGATCCATATGGATTCTAAGTTTTCCTCCTTGGTTTTGTGCATTTCTGTAGAGATTAGTGATCTTTTGTATATAACGCAACTCCTCTTTTGTTAAGTCTGTTTCTTTTAAATAGTTTATCTCCTTCCATCAGTATATTCCAGTCATGAGTTTTAACCCAAGTTTCAATAATGGCAACTACAACATATCTGCCTTCATAAGGTGACCAGACGTCCCGCTTTTGGCGGGACAGTCCCGCTTTTGGCGGGACAGTCCCGCTTTTGAGCAATTTGTCCCGCGTCCCGCGGCGTTTTAAAAAAGTCCCGATTTTTCATTCTGCCTCCTGAGTCCCGGCTGCCTCCTGAATCCCCGCTGATGGCTAGAGGGAAAAAAACCTCTTTAAACTCTTGCCGCGGGGCTTCAAAGGGCGGACCTACAGCTGATCAGTGTTTAAAAAAAATGAATAGACCCATGCCTGCAAAAATAGAAAAAACAGCCCCTGTTAACAGCTTCCGCTAGGTTAATTAGCTGCAAAAAGCTGCAAAAAGTTCCTGGAGCAGATTTTTTTTCCCCTAGCTATACTGAAAACAAAGGCGAAAGCGAAACTAAACCTGCAACGTGACAAAATGAGGCAGAGAGAGATTTCTTTCTTTTTCTTTTTCTTTTTCCTCACCAAAAAAGGTAAGTGCAAAACTGCAAACAATGGGAAAATTTGGGCAAAAGAGGAGAGTTCAAGATTTTAAAACACAAAAGAAAAAAAGCTCTATTTAACTAGGGAATTGTAATAATTGAGATACTATTAATTATTGTATATTGTGTTGAAAGCAGAAATGGTTAAGTTGTGGTTTGGAGGAATATATGGGGGAAATTATTTGGTTTATTATTATTGGTAAATATAATTAATTGATTTGTAAGAAATTGGATTGCATGGAAATAATTGGAATATTCATGTTCATATTGATTAATATACAAAAAAGATAGTTATATAACTAATTGATTTATATTAAAATGTTGAATTTGTATTAAACAACTGTATTACATAATTACATAATTAACCAATGTGAGGATGGATATAAAAATAGATGACAATGGGAAGGGGTATAATATAGAATAGAAGGGAAAAATTGAATTTGATTAAGATTAGAGATGAGGATGAAGGGTAATATTGTTTTTTTAAAAAAAATAGATGAGGAATAAATATGGCAAAAAGGAAATATAGAAATTGTAAATTTAATTGAAATGACTAAACGCTGTTTAAATTTGTGAACCAGCCAAATATTCTGTTCAAAGAAAATACATTGTATGTTTGTATGTGTGTTTTAATTATTGCTATTTATTCATATTTGTTCTCTTTTATTCTTTAAAGTTTAACAATTCATTCTTTATCGTAATATCCTTATATTTGTTTGGGGTTGGTTTTCTTCCCTTTCATTTTTTATTGTACAGCAATCTTTCAAACCTACCACCTCTCTCTTTTCTTTCCTTCTTTCGTTCTCTTCCCCCCCCTTCTTCTTCTCTCCCTACTTCATTTCTCCTTCTCCTCCTCTCTTCCTCCCTCTCTTACCCTCACTCCTACTCTGATTTCCCTTCCTTCATCCCTCTCTATTGCTGTATCCTTTTATGCATATGGACTACTCAGAGGGCTGAAAAAGTTATTTCTGACTGGTCCTCCACACTTTTGACCAGTCCTCGAACTTACGACTGTCCTCACATTTTACATTTTTGCCCTATCTTGTCACCATGGTGAAGAGAAGCAGTTGTGAAATGAGTGACATGGTTGTTAAGAATGCTGCACGGGCATAAATGTGAGGATGGTCATAAGTGTGAGGACCAGTCAAAAGTGTGAGGACCTGTCAGAAATGACTTTTCAGCCCTCTGAGTAGTCCCTATACACATAGCCATGGCCACCCGGTCACATGACCAGGTAGCCACGCCCACCCAGTCACATGGCCTCCAAGCCACGCCCACACAATAAGCCACGCCCACAATTGTGTCCTTCTTACCAATGTTAAAATCTGTTCACCTTACCCTATACACATAGCCATGGCCACCCGGTCACATGACCAGCTAGCCACGCCCACCCAGTCACATGACCAGATATCCATGCCCACAAAATAAGCCACGCCCACAATGTCCCTCTTTACCAATGTTAAAATCTGGTCACCTTAGCCTTCAGGAACTAATACTCCAAGTATTCCCCCTGTTTGTTCCCCAGGCTTTGAGAGCTGGTGTAGAGGCATTTAAGTCCTTTTTGGCTGACCCTGGGGACGCTGCCTACCTTTCCTGCTTCCTGTGAGGTTTTCCTTCCTTCCTTCCTTCCCTCCACCTCTTCGTTTGATTGCTTGTCTTAGAGTTTCTGTTTGGGATCGGGTCCTCAACATCTTAAAGGCCGGTCCCCCTCCCAGCTAGGTTCGTTTCCCTCCGGGGAAGGAACCGGCAACTCCCTTGGCTCCACACAGCCTGGCAACCTGGCAGCGTAAAGGCTCCAGCGAAACCAGGAAGCGAGCGCTGTTCTTCCCCGGGGAACCCCTCTCCAGCGTGGGAGGCAAATCTTCCCCATCCTCGGCCGGCCTGCTTTGCATACAGAGGCCGGGTGTCCTCGGAGGAGTCCCGCCCCGCGCGCGCCCCGACTTCTCGGGCAGACGCGCCGCCGGATGCTGGAGCAGCGAGACAGCGGCCAACCCCGGACGGACGGACGGGCTGAGGCGGGAGTACATCACTCCCAACCCCCCCTGGAAAGAGAGCGAGCCTCGTTCGGAAGACGAAGCCGGAGAACTCGTCTCGGCCGCTTCCCGCTCCCAGGGCCGGGCTCGGCTCCTCTGCAGCCGGCAGCAGCTGCTGCTCCAAGTCCCACCTTAAGGACCGGGCCGCGCCCCCTTCCCTGAACCGGCTAGCTGGCCACCCCAGGACAAAAGCTGGTCCGGCTGCCCTCAAAGGCCGCGTCGATAAGCGGTCTTGTCCTGGTCCCGCAGAGCTCATTTGCCGGCTGCTAAGCCGCAGTTGCCACCCAGGAGCTGCCAGGGGAAGAGACCCCCGGTGACGGGGCAGCTCGGCGGGGAGAGTCGAGCCCCCCCTGCCCTGCCCCGCGAGGCAGCAGCTCCAGGGCGCTTTCGGGGCGCTGCCCGACCGACGCAGCTCCTTCGAACGGAGCCCCCGAGGGCGCGGCCCCTTCCCTGGACTGAAGGCAGCCCCCCCCCCCCGCCGCATCTCCGTTCCCGGCTGAGGGCCGCAGACAAATCCCCCACTCGGCCGCCGTTCCCGGAAGGCACAGCTCGGGCGTTCCAAGCGCCGTTGCGGGAGGCCTGGGAGGGCGAGGCCGAGGTGAGAGGAGCCGCCGACGGGAGCTCCAGGCCCCGCGCTCCTCGCCCTCCAGCGCTCCCAACAACCCCGGCAGGCAGGCAGGCAGGCAGGCGCGTCCCAGCCAACCCCCGGCGACGGGTCCCGCCCGCCGCGTCTCTTCCGTGGAGACCTTCCCCGACAAGCCCGGAGGAGGCGGCAGTGGGGACTCCACGAGGCGAGCCCTCGCCGCTCTATAAAGAGGCGGCCGCGCGCGGACGGGGACCCTTCGGCCCCATGGAGGCGCCCGGTAAGCGGCGGGGCGGCTCGGGGGCAGCGGGGCGAACCGGGGCTCGAAGGGCCAGTTCCGCGGAAAGGCCCTCTTCATATGCAGCCTTGGGGCGGGCACCGCTTCCTGCCCCGCCGCCACCCTCCGCGCTTCGGGGAAGCCCGGCTGGGCGCCCTGCGTTGGGTCTGGTAGCGGGCGGGGAAGCGCCGCGCCCTCCCCCGCTTCCTTCCGGGCCTCCTGGCGAAGCGCCGCTCTGGGGCGGGCCGCGTTCCTGGCCGGCTGCTGGGAGGGAGGAGCCGTGCCGTGCGGTGCTCTGGACGGCCTTGCCCGACCCGCGGGCGCGCCTGGCTTCCCGGCCCGGCCGCCGTCCTAGCTGCGCGCTTCTCTCGGCAGGCCGGGCGTGAGCGAGGAAGAGCGCCGCCAAAGCAGCCATGGATCTGGACCGCCTGCCGCCGAGCGCCCTGCGCTTCCCCGGCTGGAGCGAGCCCTCGCTGCCCTTCGCCCGCGCCGTCGGCAGCGGGCGGGAAGAGTCGCTGGAAAGCGGCTACCTGAGTCTGTGCGGCCGCAGCCTCGAGGGCGGCGGGGAGCCCGGTGGGTCCGAGCCCGGCCTGTGGCGCCCCCCCGAGCAGGGCCGAGTGGAGAGGCGGAGGAAGGTGGAGTTCTTCCGCAAGCTGGGCTACTCCTCGCAGGAGGTGCTGGGCGCCCTGCAGAAGCACGGCCCGGAGGCGGACACCAACACCATCCTCGGAGAGCTGGTGAAGCACGGGGCGGCCCCGGGCGAGAGGGAGCGGGAGCCCGCCCAGGCGATCCCGGAGGCCCCCGAGGCGCCGCCGCCGCCGCCGCCGCCTCCGAGGGCGCGGCCCGCCCCCAGCAGACCCCCAGCCCAGCCTGGGCCTCCCGGCGAGCAGGAAGGGGATCACCTGCGGCCGATCGTGATCGATGGGAGCAACGTGGCCATGAGGTATGTCCGGGCTGGCTCCTCTCCGGTTGGGGCGCAGTTGGCCTGGGAAGCGTTCCGTCAATGAGGCCGCGAGCAAAGGCCCCGTCGCCACGCTCGATGCTTTAGGGCCGGGGGAGGAAGAGGCCGGCTGCTCCCAGAGGGAGCTTCGGCCTTGGGAGGTGAAATGGCCTGGAGTGAGCTGCCTCCAGCCACACAGACCCCCGCTCCCTCCTTGGGAGTCGCTGGATCTCTCACCCACCGAGAGTTCTGACCTTGTGCTGGAAATAAAATGGTGGTTCAGGGAACGAAAGTACCACCAGGCTACCATTTCCTCATGATGTCCTGCCCTGCAATCCGAGCCACATCAGCCCCCAGAAAACAGATCTTGGGATCTGGTTCTGATCTGGAGTGGAAAACAGTGGAGAAGGTAGAGAGACTGAAACCCCTATAATGTCTCTGCCCTGGCTTTGGCTTCCTTCCTTCTAAGCCCTACAGGTGGCCCTAAGGAATTTTATCTTCTTGGGAATTTAATAATGAGTGATTGCTGGATTTTGATAATACTGTAAAGCTGTGTGATCAGATGAGATTTAACAGGTGGGTTTTGAGCATGGTGTATCCTTGTCTTTGTTGCATGTGAGGGGTCTCCTTGGGCCCCCTGCAATTCCCTCTATCTCTGAAGCAGGAAGAATTTTGCCATGAAGGGGGGGGGGAGCATGTGGGCATCCTCTTGACTGGCAACCAGTTTTGTGGCTCAGGCAGCTCTGCCTTTTCTCCTGCATTGACTGTTGGGCAAACATTCTTTCTTATCTAAACAGGAAGGAACCCAGCACCCACGTGACTCAAGCCCCAGTGCCTGGAGGAGCGTTTCTCTCTTCCTCCAGAGGTGCCTCCCCCCCCCCCCAATCAGTTGGCCTCTCAGTGGGAAGGGAGAGGGATGAGGCCCCAACAGAGTGGCATTGGGCAGAGGAGGCAAGCTCTGGGCCAACCAGGTGTGGCCTTTAGTGCCCCTTTAAGAATTGGAAAGAAGGATGGAGGGCCAAGTTTAAAACAGAATGAAGCTCCACCTATCCTGGGTGAGAGGGTGGCAAGCCCAGGGAACTCACATTGCTTCCCTGTCCATTTTGGTTTTTAGGTAAAAACTGTGCTTCCTAGAACAACAACTTCTTCATCTCCCAGGATTCTAAACATGTTGGAAATACAGTAGCCCTCAATTTACGACCACAACTGAGCCCAAAATTTATGTTGTTAAGTGAGTTTTGCCCCATTTTACGACCTATCTTGCCACAGTTGTTAAGTGAATCACTGCAGTTTTTAAGTTAGTAACATAGTTGTTAAATGAATCTGGCTTCCCCATTGACTTTGCTTGTCAGAAGGCCACAAAAGGTGATCACTTGACCCTGGGACACTCTAACCATCATAAATACATGCCAGTTGGCAAGTGTCCGAATTTTGATCATATAACCATTGGGATGCTGCAATGATCGTAAATGTGAAAAACAATCATAGGTCACTTTTTTCAGTGCTGTTGTAACTTTGGTCACTAAATGAATTGTTGTAAGTTGAGGACTAACTGTACACGATAGGGCAGGGATCCATGAACATTTAGCCTGAGCTATGGCTGCTTAAGTGGAGAATTTGCACTTGAGGATGCTGGAAGATGCCCTATCCTCTCCCTAGCGCCACCAGCTGGGTTAACCACTCAACCTGGAACTCTCCAGGCAAGCATCCTCCCATCACCAACTGATCCTGTGATGCTGGCAGTGGTGGGGCTGCAAAAATCTGGACCGCCACCAGATGGCAGGAAAAAGACAAGCAAGCCCTAATTCTGCTCTTGGCAGCAGAATTGGTCTGGACCTGGTAGCCTGCACAGTGGGGAGAAGCCAGCCAGCAGTTATGGACTTCTGCCCTTTCCTTGCTGTGTTTAAGATAAAACAGATTGCTCTCCAGCTGTAATTGCCGGCCAGAGGGCACTTTCTGTTGAAAGGGAGGGGGACAAGAGGAGGTTCTGAGTGGTTCCTGGAGCAGCAGAGACGGAGTTTCTGAACAATCTCTTTTCAAGGAAAAAAAAAAAGAAGGGGAATTTTTACAGACTGCTTCCTGCATGAGTGGAGTGACAAACTGTTCCTCACCGATTCACCCTTGCTTGGATAAGACTTGTGGCAGGTTTATGCAAATCTTGGAGGGTGTGTGGAGCAGAATTGTCCCCGACTTCCTTCTACGGGAATTTCTCACGTCTGTTGCCACATCAGATGAACTACTTGGACCCTTTTCTCTTCAGTTGAGAATGTGGAAATGTTGGAGGAGATCCATCTCTGGTATTCCTTGCTCATCCTGCGTTGCACTACTGAGGGGGACCAGATGGGCATGGATTGCTAGGGACCTTTGTGGAGGGGGTACTTTTCAGAAAAAGTAGTAACAAGAGATGCAGTCTTCCCTTCCTGATTTCATTGCTGCTTTTTCTAGTGTTGGACCCAGGAAATAATAGAATAACAGAGTTGGAAGGGACCTTGGAGGTCTTCTAGTCCATCGCCCTGCCCAAGCTGGAGACCCTATGCCATTCCAGACAAGTGGCTGTCCAGTCTATTTTTAAAGCCTTCAGTGATGGAGCAATCACAACTTCAGACTAAATGAGACTGGTAACCTTCATAACAGCCCACCCTCTGAGAAGAGTATGTCCTGGGGGACTGAGGGGCAAGTGCCAGCCTTGCCATTTATTTCATTTGATCTATGTGAACTATACATTAAATTGGGTGGTGCTGGGATTAAACTGGCATTAAACATTCACCCAGTAGCAAGAGATGAATTATATGAGTTATATTGCTTGCTCTAAGCCCGTGATGGCGAACCTATGGCACGCATGCCACAGGTGGCACGCGGAGCCATATTAGTGGGCACGCCAGCTCAGCTCTGGGGCGCATGCGCACGCCGGCCAGCTGATTTTCGGGCCTTCTGGGCCCACCAGAAGTAGGGAAACAGGCTGTTTCCTGCCTCTGGAGGGCCTGGGGGGTGGGGAAGGCCCGTTTTTCTTTCTTACCTGGTTCCAAATCCTCTCTGTGTATCTGGGAACGGCGAAAACAGCCTTTCCCACTCCCTTGAAGGCCCTACGGAGGCTGAAAGGGCCCATTTCCCCACTCCCGGTGGGACAGGAAGTGACTTTTTTCCTGTCCCCAGCCTCCTAGAGAGGCTCCTACAGACTCCTAGAGAGGTTCCATCCATTTTGTTACAATTATATAACAGTCCAGTTTAATTACTCTTCTTCCTTTGATTTTAAAAGCATCAAATCATCTTTTTTTTTAATATCCAGTTCCAGTTTTAAAATATCCAGTCTTTTCACCATGTCTCAATATTTAATTCCATTAGTTTTGTTCTAGAATTAGTTGTTTATCAGATCTTTGTCTCTTTAAAGATGCATTTTAAATTTTCCATAGCTCCTTTGTTGTTCAGCCGCTGTTTTAAGGCTAGGGGTCTTAAAGTTAATAATATTGCTCTAAGTGTTGTTGCAAGCCTGGGTTGGTTGTCACTCACCCGGCTTCAAAATGCTCCGTTTCAATCCACTTTCCTCCTGCACATCTCTTAGCCCGGTTGTCCCAGCTTCGTGGCAGCCCCCCCCCCCGCTACCGACTCACAGAGGATTCCCTCTGACCTCCGAGGAACTTGCCTGTCCCTCTTCGTCTTCCGAGGCACCCCTCCTTTTCCCCCGTCCCTGCAGGACGGTTCTGGTCCAAAGACCCATTGGTGGCGGTTCAGCAGCCGGGGTTTTTGCGGCGCTCATCAGAGCCCGCTATTTCCCCGACTGTCTCGCCACGACACCAAACCGGAAGTTCCATCTTTATTAAGTATCTTGTTTTGTTTTTAAAAATACAATTTTTATCCAGCAGTCCAAGAACTATTTATTCAATCTTTAAATTACCCTTCAAGGAGTGCATTAGTCCCAATACTTTATGTCCCATAGGTTCCATTTAAGTAGTCCCAGAGGTTATACTTGGGTCTCCAATAATCCAGTCATAGGGTGGTTAAAAGTAATCCAATAAAAATTTTCACACACCTTTATATAGATATTTCCAGACTTGTAATTTTCCTTTTATCAGCAGGTGGCGCACTCAGCTTAAATTTCAATATCACTATGTTTCCAATGTTCTTTTAGTTATAGAAGAATTATAAAAGCAGAATAAGTTTTGCAAATGAATGATTCCAGCATTTTAAAATGCCTTCCCAGTACCACGCCTTCCCAGCTTAAGGGTTCAATTTTCTGTATATTTCAAAATTTCAAAGTTTATTATTTTCACTCCTGTGCCCTTCACTTCTGATCTGGTGGTTTCTCAGAATGCCTAGATGCCACTTTGACAGATGATTCTGAGCAGATAATTCTAAATTGTTCCTTGGGGTTAAATTTAAAGTGAAAGAAAAATCATGTCCCCCAGTTCCACTCACTGTTCACCTACTTCGCTCCAGCACCAGTTTTAGATGTTCATCGGCTGTCACAGCTTTGTGGCGGCCATCTTTAGGCTGCCTGTTCTTGCCGTGGCTGAGAGGGAGATAGAATCTAGATAGCCCTGAGTTGGTGGGGGGGACACACGTGGTGTTTTTCCACTTCCTGGTGGTACAGCTTGAGGGCCATCTTTCCACCTTGAAAGGGGGTGGTGGTGTCAGGGAAAAGTTTCCCCATGGCAGGCCTAGTTCTTGTGCCAGCTCCACCAGATGACAGCCCTTCTTTCTACTGTTCACAGCTTTCCTTGCTCTACTGCTTTGGCCATCTTATTAGTGCTGAGACTGAATATTAACTCATCTTTCCAGATGAGGGATTTGAGTAGGGAGAGCATCAGGGGGTGGGCAGAAGAGTTGGGTGTGTGGGGGTCACTTTTGGAGGCAGTGCAGGGAAGGATCTGCTGCAACCAGGCCCACCCCTGTCAAACTTCATAACAAACTGCTTGTATCTTCCGGTAAACGCTCATTTCAGAACAGCTCTTGATTTTTTAAATTGCAGTGCCATTGTTTTCTGGCAGTTGTCAAGGAGATAGGAGAGCAAGTTGTTGATTAGGAGGACCATTTATGTTTGACTGCATAAATGCCAAGGGCTTGCACTGTCATGCTGAAGTGGATAGAAACTATGGATGTAAAGAGGGGCTTTGGGGTTCCCTTCTCTTTGGCAGAGAGGGACAAGGCATCTCTCTGGCAAAAGAGGATCTTTGGATAGACATGGAAGAATTGGGAGGTTTCCAGTATTTAGTAGATGTATTGTCAGAAATGAAACTGCATTTGCTTGGAGGAAATATCGGTTTCATTACCCAACACAATATTGTCTTTTGGAGTAAATAACATGATGCAAAAGTGGGTGAGAAACAAGTTAGCAAGGACAATTCAAAGCAGGCGAGAGACAAAGAGAAACAAGGAAGGAAACCAAACTGCTTTATGTCAACACCATCTGCCGATACTTTTCCATTTCTTTCTAGTTTGCCGATAGACTCTTTGGCACATTGTCTTTTGCACCTCAAATTTCTCATTCTTCTTAAGAATCTCACCCAACTCACAATCCAACAACTGCTTTTCCTTTTCTCAGGATCCTGACTCAAATATTGGTTTTCAAGTGCCATCTTTATTCATTCTTTCAATGAGAACACCAAATTTCTACTCACATTTTCCTGTCTAACGTACAGGCTCTCAGCCTAGAAAAGTATATCCACAGCTAACACACCTCCAGAGCCACCAGAAGCACACCTTTCACATTTTCCAAATGAAATGTCTTTCTTGTCCCACTCTCTACCGGTGCTGAGCCACTTCCCTTGAATCTCAGCCACGCTTTGTTGTTCTTATTGCATTCCACAGACAAGCCCTGCCTCCATATTCTTCCAAAATGTCCCATAATGCAAGCCTATTCACTGTCGTGCTCTCTTATGCTGCTCTGAATCATAAATAATTGAAAGTACAATAAGCTGCCTTCCTTATTATTCGTATATTTCTCATGACCAGCTGAAAGGCAAATGAGTGCTTCCTACACCCTATTCCTAGCAAAAAGTTGCAATGTGTGCTCCCTCATCAGCCTGGCCTCACACACAATTTAGCAGGGGTCCCAAGGAGACCCCTGAGAGAGAAGGTCTTGGCGCCTGGGAAGAGAGGCAGAAAGCTGCAGAAGAAAGGGAGTGGGGAAGGAGGTGGGTGCCTCCCAAGCATCTTGAAGACCGGCTCAGGGAGGAAGGAGGGGTCAGCAGCCCCTCCAGGCTGAAGAGGAGGGGGAGGGATAGAACAGGTACATGTGAGAAGGCCACAGGGATTTTCAAGAACACAGTGTTTTCCCTGTAGGTTTCTCATTCATCTAAGACAATTGAAATTGGGCATGCCTAGTCTAGTGAAAAGACGCACTAGGGGTGATATGATAGCAATATTCCAATATTTCAGGGGCTGCCACAAAGAATAGAAATAAATAGGAATAGAAAAAGAATAGAATAGGAATTGAATTGAATTGAATTGAATTATAGGTTTAGTTGGAAAGTACCTTGGAAGTCTTCTAGTCTAACCCCCTGTTTAGGCAGGAAACCCTGTCTAACATTTCAGACAAATGTTTATCCAATCTCTTCTCAAAAACTTCCAGTGTTGGAGCATTTACAACTTCTGGAGGCAAGTTGTTCCACTGATTAATTGTTCTAACTGTCAGGAAATTTCTCCTTAGTTCTAAGTTGCTTCTCTCCTTGATTAGTTTCCACCCATTGCTTCTTGTCCTGCCCTCAGGTGCTTTGGAGAATAGCTTGACTTCCTCTTCTTTGTGGCAGCACCTGAGATATTGCAACACTGCTACATGTTGAGTGCAGTTGGTCAGCCAGTTATGAATCCATCTGGTGGTGATGATGTCTAACCCACATTTTTCTATCTTATCAAGTAGTAGGTTTTGGTCTACTTTATCAAATGCCTCAGTGAAGTCCAAGTAAATTATATCAACAGTATTCCTCTGGTCCACTAATTTTGTCACTTTGTGAAAAAATACATTAAGATTTGTCTGGCATGATCTGTTTTTGATAAACCCATGTTGGCTTTTGGTTATTACTTTGTCTGCTTCTAGGTGTTCACTGGTTCATTGTTTGATTATCTTTTCCAGAATCTTCCCTGATATTGAGGTCAGGCTGATAGGTCTGTAGTTTCCTGGATCTATTTTTTTCCCCTTTTTTGAAGATGGGAACTACCAGTCCTCTGGCAGTTCCCCTGTGCTCCAGGATCTCTGAAAGATATAGTTGAGTGGTTCTGAGATCTCATCTGCCAGTTCCTTCAGGACCTTGGGGTGTAATCCATCTGGTCCTGGTGATGTGAACTCGTCTAGGGTAGACAGGTGCTCATTTACCATTTTCTTCCCTATTTTAACTTGTGTTCCTAATCTGTTTTTTGTGGTGCTGTTTTTGATAGGTTGGACTGTTTTTTCCTTTTGTGTAAAGACAGATGCAAAAAATGAGTAAAGTAGTTCTGCTTTCTCCCTGTTGCTTGTCACCTTCTTGCCACTTTCTCCCAGCAATGGGCCAATTGTTTCCTTGACTTTTTCCTTGTTTTTAACATGTTGGAAGAAGCTTTTTTTGTTATTTTTTTACTTTTGTCACAAGCCTTTGTTCATTATGAGCCTTAGTTTTCCTCACTTCATCTTTGCAAGCTCGGGCTATTTGCTGATATTCTGCCTTAGTCACATGTGCCCCTTTTTCCACTTGTTATACTTGTCCTCTTTGTCTTTCAATTTATCTGGGAGTTATGCAGCTGGTTTCTTTTGAGAGTTGTTGTTTTTCTTCTTCATTGGTATTGTGCTAGAGTGGGCTTTTATAATCTCACTTTTCAAAATTTCCAAAACTTCTTGCGTTGTTTTCCCCATCAGGATTCTCATCCATGGAATCCTTCCAAAGCTCTCTCTAAGTTAGAGTGAGTCAAGCTATTCTCCAAAGCAGCAGAGGGCAAGATGAGAAACAGTGGATGGAAACTAAACAAGGAGAGAAGCAACCTAGAGTTAAGGAGAAATTTCCTGACAGAGAGAACAATTAACTAGTGGAACAGCTTGCCTTCAGAAATTGTGGATGCTCCATCACTGGGGGTTATTAAGCGATTGGTCAGCCATTTGGCTAACCTTTTTTCCATTGCGTGCCAGGAGTGTGGGGGGGGTCGCGTGTGCCCCTGCCCGCTCCCATAATTCTATGTGCCCCTCCCATAATTCTATGCGCGCACGACCCCACCCCCTCGCTCCTGGGACATGATGGCCCGGTAGACCCATTTTTCTCTCTCCTCAGGCTCCAGAGTCTTTCTAGGCGTCTGGGGGCCCCAAAAACGGCCTTCCCCACCCCTCCGGAGGCCAAAAACGGCCCGTTTGCCAACCTGGGACCGGACGTTGGCAAACCGATCATTTCCGGCCTCCAGGGGGGTGGGGAAGGCCATTTCTGCCCTCCCCAGACTCCTAGAAAGGCTCTGGAGCCTGGGGACAGTAAAAAACGGGCCTTCCGGTCCCACTGGAAGTTGGCAAACGGGCCACTTCCGGCCTCAGGAGGGCCTCAGGGGATGTGGGGAAGGCCGTTTTCACCCTCCACAGGTTCCTAAAAAGGTCTGGAGCCTGGGGAGAGAGAAAAACAGGACTTCCCCACCACCCCTCAAGGCCCTCCGGAGGCAGGAAACAGCCTGTTTCCCTACTTCTGGTGGGCCCAGAAGGCCCGAAAATAAGCTGGCTGGTGCGCACCGGAGCTGAACCTGTGTGCACCTGTGGCACATGTGCCAAAAGTTCGCCATCACGGGTATAGGGTCTCCTGCTTGAGCAGGGGGTTGGACTAGAAAACCTCCAGGGTCCCTTCCAACCCTGTTACTTTGTTATTCTGTGACAATCAGAGTCAATTTTCTGTCATGGTTGAATGAGTTTGGGCCCAGATCTCTCCCCATCGATGAGCCAACTTGGCTTGGTTGTGAATAACAGAAGGGCAGTGAAGCGTGACCATTGGGGAACTTTGGAAGGGCTACCCCTCACATGTGGCTGCATAAGGTCTCTTCAATGCCAGCACATGAGGTCAAGTGTGGGAAGCGCTTTGAACCTGCAATTCTCTTCCATTTGCAGTCATGGAGACAAAGACACCTTCTCCTGCCGAGGCATCCAGCTGGCTGTGACCTGGTTTCTGGACAGAGGACACAAGGATATCACGGTCTTTGTCCCATCTTGGAGAAAAGAGCATCCACGCTCTGATGTCGCCATTACAGGTAACAAGGTGGCCTTGGGCCATCTTGCATTGATGCAGGCTAGTGCTGGGCTCCTGTGCTGCTTTCCTCAGGATGGGGAGACACTTGACTGAGATGGGACATGCTGCTTCTTATCCCTCTGGAATTTTGCTTTCCAGTGGCTTTAAGAGGCCACTCCCCGGATTTTGCTGCTGGCCAAAGCACCATTCAAGTAGTCAGCCCTGTTTCCAGAAGTCTATCTGGAATCACCTGAACACTTGACAGCTTCTAAAGGCAAAAATTATGTTTGCAGATTTAAAAAAAATGCTACAGCATCTTTAGGGGATTGATTTGTATTCTTGACCTTTTAAAGCAGGGTCTTCAATTTGGCAACTTTAAGACTTGCAAACTTCAACTCCCAGAATTCCTCAGCCACCTATTCTGAGAGTTGAAGTCCACAAGTTTTAAAGTTGTGAAGGTTGCAGCCCCCTACTCTAAAGCATAATCTTGTTTAGACATTTAAATTAAGGGCAAAGCTATGGGAGGCAGCACTGGAAGAAAACATGGAGGAAGAGGAAGAGGGACATCTAGGCAAATAAGAAAGACTAGAAGGAAGGAAGGAAGGAAGGAAGGAAGGAAGGAAGGAAGGAAGGAAGGAAGGGAGGGAGGGAGGAAGGAAGGAAGGAAGGAAGGAAGGAAGGAAGGAAGGAAGGAAGGAAGGAAGGAAGGAAGGAAGGAAGGAAGGAAGGAAATGATTTGGCAGACCACTCATTGAGATCTGCCAAGGGGCTACAGTATCTGGAGCACCCACACCTTGGTTCACCTGATCTTTCCTCTGTAAGAAGCCTCAGTGGGGATGACTTCACCACCTCTTCCTGCAGACCAGCACATCCTCCATGACCTCGAGAAGAAGAACATCCTTGTCTTCACTCCTTCCCGGCGAGTGGCAGGCAAGCGAGTGGTCTGCTACGATGACCGCTTCATTGTGAAGCTGGCCTGGGAGTCAGACGGCATTGTGGTTTCCAATGATGTCTACCGAGATCTGCAAGCAGAACGGCCCGAGTGGAAGAAGTTCATTGAAGAACGCTTGCTGATGTATTCCTTTGTCAATGACAAGTAAGTCCTTGGCCTTGGGGAAGACTGGAGGTTGGCCATGAGGCTGACCAGGGTTCTTGGGGGTGAAGAGTAGCCCCCCAAGGCTGTGGCTGAGAATTCTGGGACGTGAAGTTCCTGGCTAGGAAGTGCCCTTCTAATTCGCAGCCTGCCTGCTTCTTCAGCTTGAGCTGACACCATGCCCAGCAGAGTCTTCTTAATCTCTGCTGAGCTTCCCAGGCCCACCAGGTTGCTCACTTCTAGCCAGCCTTTCAGGAGGTGGTAGAGTTGGTGGGACTCCCAGCGTTATGGCACACACTGTTGCCTTGGCAGATGGGGAAGGACTAGGCCTGGCCTTGGGACCTGTAGCTCCTGATGGATGTGGTTCCTCTGCTCTCCAGGTTCATGCCTCCCGATGACCCCTTGGGGCGCCATGGACCCAGCCTGGATAATTTCCTGAGGAAGACACCAGCAGTGCCCGAACACAAGAAGCAGCAGTGCCCATATGGTGAGGCCGCTCTCCTCTGCTCGGGACAGAACAGCTGGAAGGGTTCGGGGCAGTGGATGCCTGTCACATGGCTCGCCTTTCTCTTTGCAGGCAAGAAGTGCACCTATGGAATCAAGTGTAAGTTCTACCACCCTGAGCGGCCACACCAAATGCAGCGCTCTGTTGCTGATGAGCTACGGGCCAACGCTGGGCTCTCCCCCACCAGGACTGCGCCAGCCACCAAAGAGGAGAGGAGGAGCTGGAGGACCCCCCATGGGGAATTCTGGGGCTCTGCACCTGCAGAGAGTGAGAAAGTTCCCCTGCAGAAGGCCTTGTCTGAGAAGATGAGCTCTGCCCCTCACATTAGACATGGCGATGTGCCACCCTTCTTCCTCAGTGCCCACGGCATCCCAGCCCGGAAGAGCCACAGTTACAGGAGTTCAGATCAGTACCAGCTGCCTCCCAGGGACTCCCTTGCCCATGTCTCTCAAGACCACCTTGACTCGGGCCTTGGCTCCCTTGAGAGCCAGCTCTCTGAAATGTGGCCCAGCCCCTCAGCTAGTCCTGTCAAGTGGGCCCAACAAGAGCTGCTTGTGGGGAGCAGCTGCAGGGGTCGGGTGCCTGCCTATCGGGTCCCTCCTGGCCCGGAATCCAGGAGGTACAGCCAGTACCTGCCTCAGAGCTTCCTGCCATCCCCATCTGAACATGTCACACCTCACTCCTTTCCTGGGTACGATGTGGCCACCAGTGCTTCTCTGGGCCCTGGGCACGAGTACTGGTCCGAGCCGTACCATCCAGGGCCTGCAGTGTGCCAAGACCTGCCAAGGGCTCCCTGCCTGGCCTACAAGGACTCCTCGCGCCATTGGGCCACTCCGGACAGTTTTGCAGAAGAGCGTGCAAAAGTGCATGTCAAGCTTTGTGGGATCTTCCATCCTCACCTGGTGGACACTGTCATGAGCCGCTTCCCACACCTCTTGGACCCACAGCAGCTGGCTGCCGAAATCCTCACATACAAGACCCAACACCCTGGGATGTGACACGGCTGGAGGAGGGAAACCCAACTCTGGGGTGGGGCAAAATGTCCCTTTCTGCCTGCAGTTTAGCCCATCATCCAGCGGCCACTCGTGGAGGGCAGGCACCAGGCTTGGTGGTGGCTCAGATGGGATGAAAAGGTCTGCCTCAAGCAATCCAAGAAAGTGGCCCAGGAACTACAATGCTGAGCCATTTTCTCATGCTGCATGAAGCCTGGCTGTCTGGTTTGTGCCAGGCAGAATGCAGGCAGCACGGCCTTGCTGGCAGGGAGTGTGTCTTTTGCTCCTGACAATGGCTGCTCAGAAGAGGTTGACATGGAAAGGAACCTGGAGGAAGTCCCAAGCTCTCCGGCTGTGGCACAGCCAGAATTGGAGCAAACCAGAGAAGATGTTATGATTTACAACTATAGCCGTTCCCCAAATGGCTGCAGGGGGACGTAGCGGTTCACCAAAAAAATCAGAGGGAGGAAAAAGTTCCAGGGCGTGGCCAACTTTTTTTTTTTTTTTTTACTTTTAAAAGAATTTTTTCTACAACCTCAAGAGGTTGCAGAAAAAATGCTTTTAAAAGCCTCTGATGATCAGGCAACTCAGCTGGGATCGTCAGAGGCTTTTAAAAGCATTTTTTTCCTACAAAATATGCTTTTAGAAAAAATGCTTTTTAAAGTTAAAAAAAAAGCCTCTGATGATCGCGTGGACATGGGGGGGGGGGCAGGAATTTTTGCTACCAGTTCTCTGAACCACCCGCCACCATTGCTACCGGATCAGGCGATCCAGTCTGACCCATTTCACCCCTGGCTTCCTCCCCCTCTCTGCTGGTGTGGTTGTCCCAGTGGTCTCCTTTCCCTTGGTTTGGAACCTTCTGGGATTGTGAAGCATAACATTTGTTTCAAGCCAAAAATCAGCTGTCCTTTCAGTTCCCCAAAGTTCTGTGTGACTCTTCTAGAGTAAGATTTGAAAATATCTTAAGGCCTTCATGTTATTTCCTCTCTCCTGGGAAAAGCCATGAGGCGCTCTGCATCCCTTCTCCTCCTCCAGTGCTGCTGGTGACAGGCAAGTCCTGCATGCAGGGCACCTACAACCCTTCTCTTGCCCTGAGATGGAGCAGTGGTACCGAAAATGCTCCATGGGGCATCTTAACAATGTTAGCCTTATAATCAAGTTTATATCTTAAGCTCAGATGTCACAAATCCCAAGACTAAATACAAAATGCCTTAATGTGAAACCAGGAGGGTCTCCAGAAAAGGGACTTGCTTGAATCGACTGTTGGGGAGCCTCTTTAGTGCCAACTGTTTTGGGCAATTTGCTTGTCTGCTGACAGAAGAGAACTCCACCACTTTCTCAGTGGCTGTAGAAAGGCCCACTGGAAATTTGAGGGAGGGGACCGTGTTTAGCTTATCCTTTTCTATCAGCTCAGTCTTGAGGATTGGTAAGTCCAATACGGGCAGTTACAGATCCTTCGGTAATGAATTTGCAACAATTGTTCCTGGTCCTGCCCTTTTCGGAATAAGTGATTCACTTGCAGGCCGGGATCAGTTGATCGGTTGATGCACATTGCATCGGTCTCTTGAGTGGTTCTTTGGAGTGGTTGACGCTGAAGTCGTCCCAGGAGCTGCTGCCTGGGGGAGAAGCAGGGCAGAAGTCCCTGTGGACAGCTGGCAATGCCACCAGGCCCTGCTGCTCTCCCTGCCAAGTGCCCTGAAGATCAGTCAGCCATGCCAGCACCATGTGCTGAGGAGGCCACGTGTCTAAAGAAACCCTGTTGTGTATCATTAATTATGATCCATCACAGAAATGTGGTGTTTCGTGTTAGTAAGCAAAATGCTTTTTAATAATCATTTATAATCTTACAACTTTGCACTTGTAAATTACAAGAGTCGTAGTTTTTAACGAAATGCTTTCTGAGCTGAGGCTGCTTTGGTGATGGTTGGTCTCCCTTTATTCTGCCCTAGGCAGAGTTGCAATCAAGTAAAAAATAAACCAACCTTGAACCTTGGAATGGCTGTCTCTTTTCTTCAACAGTAAAGTCTCTTTCCAAAGTACAAATCAAAGCTTTGGATGCTAAAACCACTCTTGGCTTTTTCCTTATCTGCTACAAATCTCCTCAAAGCAGAAGGGTAGGGCACAAGTGCCCCAGAGGCTTCGGAAGGCAGCTACGGGATGCTAGGAAGGCCACAGGAACATGTCTCCTTTCCAGGATAGCTGAGCTGGGGTCAAACCCATCAGCCAGTAACTGAGTGGGCCTGCGTCCAGAGGAGGAGGGAGTTCGGAAGACTCTTTACAACATTTACTCTCCTATGGCCACCCTAAGGTAGGAACAGGCAATCCAGCTTGTGCGATGATTTACAAAGCAGTTCACACATTACTTCGCTGCACATGGAAGGCAGAGGATAAAGATGCTTAAGAACAGCAATGCACGCAATTAGGTGGGTCCTGTTATGAGCGGGACAGAGGTCGAGGGGGGGAGGGGTTTGAGGTCGAGTCTCTTGAGAGAAGGCCCTTCACCCAACAACCCCCCTGCAACAGCCAGTGGGGGCGGGGGGTCCAAAGACTTCAAAAAGAGCTTATTTTTTCTGGGAAGGAGCTGATTCCTAAAGAACTGTCGGAGCTCTCAACCTGCAGCTGGCAAGAAAATGATGGGGCTTCCTGGTTCCTTCGGCGCTGAATCCTGGGGCGACTTCTGGATTGGCGGCACCTCTCAAGCGGACCTCCTACGGCCAGGCCAAGGGTGGCTTCGCCCGTCACAATGCCCGAGAGCGACACAGCGGAGTACGCGGCCCTACTCGAAGCCCCCAGGGCTTTCCTCTCCAGCGTGGGACTCCTGCCAGGGACTTTCCCTGAGCCTGGGTGCTTCCTGCCGGCGGAGGCGGTCTGACGCAGCCACTCGGGGGATTGCTCTCAGTGGGGAGGGGGCGGTGTAGCCTCGTCGGGAGGAGGGCTTCCTATGGGCCGAGACGGCTCCTGCTTTGCTTAGGCAGAAGCCAAGAAAGACCCATGGCGGTGGGGGGAGGCATGTGTTGGCTTCTCTCCTCATAGTTCATGGTGGGGGTGCCCCCTGTCCAAAAGTCCCTTTCTGACTCTCCAAACATGCAGGCAGGATGGCAACCCAGATTCAAGGACTTTCTTCTCAGATCCAGAAACAGGCTCTGGTCGGAGTGCAGGACCTTAGCGCGCCCCTCCCCCCAAGCTGTTTTTATCCTTGGCCTCTTTGGAGACAGGCAGCCAGCCGGTGTCCTCCTCGGGCCGAGGATTGATGGCCTCCAGCCACAAAACCAAGTGGCTATTAAGTACAAGACGGAGGTCAGAAGCAGTGAACTTCCTTCCTCTCCCAGGCCAGCTGACTCGGGGCAAAACTTGGAAAGTCCCCACCTCTGGACACAGACTTGACACGCAGGACTTTCCGGAAATGGTGGAGCAACTCCTTAGGGCTTAGGACGAAGGAGGGAAGCCTTTGGGATCCGTTCCCCAAGGAAAAATCCACCAGTTGCATCTGAGCATTATTCACCTCATAGGGAGGGAGGGAAGGAAAGCCCTGCGCCAAAGAATACAAAGAAGTGAGGCTTGGGGAGCTGAGCAGCACAAATGACGAGCTTCTGCCCAATGCCCCTTCAGCAGCTCCCTCTCCTAGGAACTCTCTAAGGGCAAAGGATGCCATGTTGCTCTCCTGGGGAAGCAGCACAAGAGCAAGAGCCCCAGCTGTGCTTCTCTGCTATTCTGTGCACACAACTCTCTGGACACCGTACACCAAGCAATGCACACAAATCGGTTCACAGAACCCAGGCTAAATTGGCAACAAAACAAACTTATATGACCAAGTCATAAATATTTAATTCATGTTATTAAACCTACTCCTATCAATGAACCAGACTGAGTTTGGTAATTCCAATTCTTGTTAAGATAAAAATGTAGGATTGATAACATCATCACCAGATAGATATAGTCAATGGAGCTACATGTCATCAGTCTCAGTGCTGCAGTCGAACACTGGGTGGACTCGCCCAAGTACCTTAGCCAACTGCAACCACAGTAATTGGGTTTGTGATCCGAACAATCGGGAACGGACCTATATACTTAAGACCCAAGTTCCTACAAAGTTGGTTTAGCTTTTAAGTGTTGACAGGTAAACTCCTCAATTCTGAGCTCCCTCTGAGGGGCTCTCTTCTGATCTGCCTGTCTCCTTTGCTACTCCCTGGTCTTATTCAGGGCTTTCTGCACATTTCCCCAAGCAGCTTTCAAGCTATCCATCCATTCAGCTTGTCAGGGTAATGCAGATTTAAAGCTGACCAGCCCCTTTAAGACTGGGGATGAGTCAGCAGGGTTATTGCCCTTTAAGAAGCTGCCTATATAAAGGAGGCCATTGGGGGGGGGGTGTCTCTTTGTGTATCATTCTCCTTGTGTATTGCTCCATGTGAAGAAGACTGATTGATTGCCTGGCTTTGCTTAGCACGTGTATCGGGTGAAATGCTCCCGGTTCGGACCAGATTGGGCGATCTGGTAGCGATCGTGGGGTGTGGTTCGGCGATCCAGTAGCGATGGCAGAGCAAAGCTCCGCCCACCTGCCCCAGTGTCGTTACTTCCTGGTTTTAACATGCACTTCCGAACCGGTAAGGAAGGTAAGTAGATTTCACCCCTGATTTGTATGTATATATATCTTGTAGATAAACCACTGTTTGAAAAACCTCTGTGTACTGTATTTTGCTCCTGGGTTGTCTCAAAATAGCAGTCACACTGTGCACACTCTAACATAGCTATTGTTGCTGAGGGAGGAGATCCCCTCAGAAACTCTGGCATTGATACAAATTTACCCCCCATGTTATTTTAAAAGGGGTGAATCCAGTACTGCTATGCACCGAGTTATTATAAGCCACTTCTGCAAAAGGTAGGAGCTCCACCCAGTTGGTTTGCTGATAGCAGTGTTTACATAGCAATGTAAGTATTGCTCCACCATTGTGTTAGTTTTTTCTGCCACCCCATTAGTGCACAGATGGAACCCTGAACTAAATCCCTGAGCTGACCCTATTTGCTTTAGGAACTCCCACCAAAACTTTGCTGTAAACTGCGGGGGGGGGGGGGGGAGAAACTGGTCCTTACAGGTTATCTAGTTCTCTATGTCCTTCTTCATCTTGGGGTACCAGAATTATATTTTAGCCAGGTGAAGGATTTTTACAAACCCAAAGTGTCCAGCTGGCTTTATATCATGGCACCTTTGTAGGATTTGGGTCCTCTGGCTGGCTGGAACATACAGCTTGTCTCCCTTCCACGCCAGGTCTTCCCTCATTCTCAGGTTGCCTTTGTGATCTCTGAGCCATTCATCTTCCTTCAGGACCTCTTTTAGCTGTTTGCACAGCGTGCAGTTGGCTGGCTGAGGAGTGGGTAGTTGCCGCTGCCTCACTGAGAGGTGAGTTGCCTGGAGGAAATGATGGATTATGCTGTTGTATTGGGGCATCCAAGAGAGCGCATGAGCTTGGTGAACACCCTTCCCTTGGCCAGGTATCCCAGCATGTCCTTCATGAGGGGGAGGGGGTACATGTTTTCCACACAGGTACGATTGATCCCCAAAAAATCCACGCATAATCTCAAAGACCCATCTTCTCTTTAAAAAACACCGGGTCTGCCATCCTAGATTTTGCCGGTTGCATGAAACCACTAGTTAGATTTTTATCCACCAAATTCCTGAGCTCCTCCATCTCTCTTGGGGTCATTGAGTACATCTTTGGCTTTGGTAATTTTGCCCCCAACAATATTTCAATGGCACAATCAGTAGGAGGATGAGGAGGGAATACATCTGATTCCCACTCGCTGAATGCTTCCACTAGGTCTTTGTATTCTTTTGGGATGCCTGTCCCTCTTGGCTGCCCTCGGTTAATGAGTTGATGGGCTCTAGTTTTCCTATTGCCATCAGCAGGCTTTCTCTGCCTCTGTGCTTCACTCCTATGCGTTGCAGTCCACCTGCTCTACTCCAGGCAGTTTCCCAGTAAGGGAGCCATTGACTTGCTCAAACTTCATAGGTTGCCTCAATTTTTTAAGTCTCAGTCCCATCTTTTCCACAGTTCACAGGTTAACCAAGCAGCGGGTGCCACCTGAGTCTACCAGGGCTGTAAAGAATACTCCCTCTTGCCCCTGAGTGGGGTACTAGCATCTCCACCTGAGCAGTCAAAGGAGTGATGGTTCCACTTATCAGTGGATCATCTTCCCCCTTGCTGTCGCTGTTATAGAAGACCAGGTTGGGGTTGCTGGGGGTCAGAGGTCCCTCCCACTCGAGAGGAGAAAGAGACCTCCACGATCTGCTGCGCCACCGGTGCCTTCTCCTTTCTTGGTGCCTTGGCCTTTGGCTGGCCCGGGCCCCTTGCTGCCAACATGGGTTGTGGGGCTGGACAGTTGGCTGCTCAATGGCCCTCTTTTCCACATCAGAAGCAGGCTCCAGGCAGATGCCGCAGGTGGCAGGAGGGGCTGTTGATCCCTTGCACATTGGCAGGCATCTCTCCTGGCCTCGTTGGGTGTGACCCTCGTATGCTGTATGCTGCCGGTACTACAACAGGTCTAGCTCCACTGTGATCGCCAGTTGGTACCATGCCTCGAGGTTGTCTGGAATTCCTTGGGGCAGGCAGTTTGGGTATAGTTCCTTATTTAGTCCATCACAGAAGGGGGTAGACCAGTAAGCATTCTAGCCACCCTCTCAGTTTCCTAGCCAGGCGGTAGAACTCCCGAATTTAATTTAATTTAATTTAATTTAATTTCCAATTTATATACCGCCCTTCTCCCTGAGGACTCAGGGCGGTGTACAGCCAAGATAAAAAACATAGAATACAAATATTAAAACATTTAAAAATATATATAAATTTTGGCCTGAAAGTTAAGAATCACAAACTAATTAAAAGAATTTAAAAATTTCTTCTAAGCCAACCCGGCTTGCTGAAAAAGATAGGTTTTCAGGGAACGGCGGAAGGCGCTGAGGTCTTGGATTCTCCTTATCTCCGGGGGCAGCTGATTCCAGAGGGT